CATGCGCGCGTCGAGCTTCACCACTTTGCACTGGGATGCAAAAAGCAGCGGCAGACATGGGGGAGTGACTGGGTTAACGTGATGGGCACGAAAGTTATGGTCAATACTGTTACCGGTTTACCTTCTTTAGTCTTGATTGTAAGTTCATCTCTCATTTTAAAAAGCTTGCCAAGGAAAAGACAAAAAAGAAACACTGGTCTATATTTGAATAGATAATGCTAGTCAAGATAGTTCCGGTGCAGCTGTTGATCAGAGGGGCGGCGAACTTTGCTCTTTAGCAGCGTTGGAACCAGAGTTTTAAGTCCATGTCACCTTTGGGGAGACATGCTCCAGGGGAAAACATTATTTTTTTTTATCTGTTATGATAACTGCATGGCATTTTCACAGTTTGAATTATTGCTTTTCTTCCAAGTTCAGTGTGGTCCCGACCGAATATTTTTAACCGGATTATTCTAAGTGTATTGGCGGCCAACCATGCTTATTACGAAGGCTGCGGTGCCGAAAGCATGCAAGCCTACATGGAAGCGCATGGAGACCGTTGCATCCCCTTCCTCTTCTACACCGAGGCAAACAGCAAGCTGGGAAAACGGAGTAAACTGATGACGGAGGGCAGAGCATGTGGAGTGCCGCTTTTGATGCTGATGCACCGACACTGGGATGCAGGCAGGGAGCAGCGAGAGCAACGTCATCGTTTCGACGCTGCCCGACTTGTCGGAATCTAGTCAAGAGAGCAATGAAGCCCAGAGGAGATTACCCCTTCAGGAGCCCCTGACATGCGCGCCTGTGTGGGCGCCCTTGCGGCATACTATACGTACACATGCGTTGTACGGGAGGCCGGGAGTGTTTACCGAAAGTCGCTTAGATCTGCAAGGTTGACAAAAAGTGGCTGGCCCAAGTCCGAAAGCGCCAAAGAATTCTAAATTCCGGTATCGGCTGTTTGACACTATCCACCATTTCGCAGAACCAGCAAGGCATATTGGATGGGTTCGAGAAGGTTCTCATGCACGAGAAAGCGTGCCCGCTACCCGAAGATGAAAAATCGCCAACCGCTTCGCAAACGTTAGATTTTCTTCCGCGAGCACACTTGTCGAGCCGGCACATGATTTCCATAGCTGCAGTGATCTCTACAGGAGTGTGTAAAAACATCTTGGTAAAGCCACCGAGGATAACTTTGATTCATTCCCATTGTTGCTCCTGTCACGGATGCTGCGATCATAGGCCTTGCGTGCGGCCGGGGTAAACACAAGCGACGTCGGAGAGGAACCTCGGGAAACGTCGACGACTGCAGAGATGCGAAACATCCTAGGGCTACTCTGAAACAAAGTGAAGTGCAGCGGCAGTGTCATTGTTCTTTGCAATGCTTGGAGCTGTTCGAGGAGAACTGATTCCCGGATGAAATTATTGGCAAACTCTACTTAATTATTTTTTTACTCGGTAAAGCTGCCAAGAGATGTTCATAACCAAGGTTTGTTTAATTGAATATATGGTCAGTGTTCTGCAGCGTTCCCGTCCACCTCCAAGGCTGCTAGGGCCTTTTTTGGGGGGGCTTTATTGCTTTTATCGATTTGCCGCTTATATAAAATTTTTTTGCCGTCCCAATGACTTTGTTTTTCGCGACTCCAATTCACCATAGGTGGCGCCATTGTTTTCCAAAACGGCAGTTATAGTGAGGGTCGGAGATGCGTGCTATATACCAACTGCTGAGCCTGTCTAGTGTGCTGGCTTCACTGAGCGTCACAAATTATTCCTGCTTATACGAGGAATCAAGCTAGGGTGTTAGGAGCGCTGGTCACCTCTATCCTGAAAACAAAAACATTGTTTAGCGTGATATTTGTGCCAGGAGGCATGTTTTAATTCGGGAACGAAACTGAAACTAACCCATTTTGGATCTAATTTCTCGGTATATGTGTTAATTTTGGATTCTTTCATAACTCAAGATGTGTCTCACAGTGTAATTAGTGAGCTAAAAACATTGTTCCCAGAAACTATATTGTGACATACATTTCAGATTCTGGCACTTCACAATATTTTGAAGAGTTCACTGTTCCTTAAAGACAGGGTCTTTCATACACCTTAGAGGTAACAGAATGTTGTATTCGTTGAAAAAGTCACTGCTGGTATTTCTGTGTTCTTGCTGTCTTTTCTTGCTCAGTTAATTGTCATGTGAAATATTGAACTGCAAGATTTCAAATGGGTTTTGGGGTATTTAGATGATTAATTGCTTTGACATTATTCTCAGCACAAGAATAACAGAATCAATCCCAATTTTACAAAATATCATCATGGGCGGTAAGTTCAGGATATGTTTACAAAACATGTAAGTTAAGAAACGCTGTTCTCACCACGAAAACCCAAAGACGGAATTCGAGCCAGGCAGCAGAATGTGTGCGTTTTTTAAAGCAATGTGTGACGGATAGGATCTTATGTTGCGTTAAGTGCTTGACTGTTTGCCTATCTCAATAACGATGTCAGAGTTTTTTATTTGCTAAAAAGAAAACAAAATGAGACCTTTATGAAAAGACTATTATGGTTAAATGGCATATTTTTGTGATCGTGGCATTTATTGGGGGCCTACACTGCCGCAATTCATAATAAAAGTTCTAATACAATTAAGGTATTTTAATACATAGTTTTTCAAGCTCTAATATAATTTGTTGCTTATGATCTAATTTCAACCGTGTGAACAAGTATGGCAATCAAAAGTCTGCAAAATATTATCACTGGTGTCTATTGCAACATTTTTAATTAACAATTGTAAAATAAAAACAGTCTGAAATCAATTAAAACATTCTAGCTAATCGAAGAAATCCATGTAAAATTACATTAATTGTGGGTAAAGCATATGGACACCACTTTTGACAATTGGCAAAATTTCCAAAATCGCTGCAAATCCTTCTGGACCAAATGCCAACCCCACACTAAAAAAAAAAAATTTTGTTCTTACATTTTTTTTAGGTTATTCTTTTTTTTAAAGCACTTCTTTTATTTTTACGTGCTGTTGTTTTGCCAATATCAGCCTTTTTGGTTTGAAGGAATGCATACCCGCTTGCGCGTCTCTTCACTGCAGCACACTTCGTTGGCGTTGGAAACCGGTGAAACAGTAGTGTGTTTTAGTATTGCATATATGAGCGAACGGAAGTACTCTATGTTTGCCTTTTCCATGCTGCGCATGTGCGGTGCCATAAATCTCGGTTTTTGTTTGGAGCATGTCGACGACGTGCATGCGCAGCGTGGAGCACGCAACTCTAATGCAAAGGCACATTGTTTGCTTCTTTACACAATGCTAAAATTATTTAATAAGATGCAATCTCATACCGACTGCACCACTACACTGGGACAGTAAAGAGTGTTGTTTGCATTGGGTAATGACATGATCACGGCTCGTGCCGTGATCATGTCATCGCGAGCAGTTCCGCTGTGCCTGCTGAGCAGGAGAACCGGGGAACCCTCACTAGAGCGCTTCCCGTTTCCGCCGCGGGAGGGCGAGCAACAAGCTGGACACGCGAATAACGAAGGACTACTGTAGCTTGTTTTGTTTTTTCTATTCTAGATGCAATGCACATGAAAAAAAAAAAAAAAAACATGTTCTTGCTTACACATGGGGCATGGCAACATACTTAGAGAGCCTAGTAAAATAAGCTAATTCACTCTTTGAAACCAGTGATTGCAATGAAAAACAAAAATAGTCTGTGTGGGACCTCTTGTTTACAAAAACACCCTTTTCAAAGGGCTAACTAAAGTTCCTTTAAAAATATATTTCTATAGTTCTAGTTCTACAGCATGTAAACTAACACTTTTAACCCTGTTGACAAGTGTTGCCTCCTGGCAACAAACCACATATTATTTTTTTTTTTCAATAGTTTCAGTTTAATCAGTTTCTTTTACCTAGTAGTGTGGCATCTGACACTAGTGTCATTAGTGAGAAAATATGCAAATAGTTGTCAAGAAAAAAGAAGTTTGGTGCACAAATAGGCGACGACCGAGGACTATGTTTCCCCAGATTTTTGGGCAAAAAATATGAAGAAGTGTTTCTCTTGCCACTAATATTTTGCGATAGGTGACTGTTTTACTTGAGGTTATTGTAGGCTTAAATATTATTGACATTTCATAGTTATCCGTAGAGGTTACGCACAAGAGCCACCTTCGGACTTTTGACTGGTGTTGCCCACAGGCAATGAAGCTATAACTTGCAAGTTTACCTTACAAGTTTTTTTTATTTCATTTTTGTTCTTTTATTTCTCTGGTTAAACATTAATATCTTAAACATATGTTTTAAGAAATATTTGTACATCTCGTCAATAAAGGGGTAAGGCGCTCAAGATGGCCTGTGAAAATCATGTTCGCACGAAAGCACGAGCAATGCCCATTTCCAATTCCACACAACTACCAGAATTTTTCGAATTGAGTCGCCAAAGGAATTCTGCAAGCGGGTCACTCACAGAGGGTGTTGCTGTTATCAGCGTTGCCGTTCATTGCCTTTTTCGTGATTCATGAATTACACAGGCAACTATGGCTGCATTTCATTAGCTGTCAGTGCTATTTATATCAACAAAAAATTATGGTGCAAGCGAGCTCATGAAACTTAAACATGGTGACTTTACCCAAGAAGGAATGACGTTTGTGAAGGACGACGCAAAGGACGATACAAACACAGAGAAGTCGCAAACGGAGCTGACTTTTAATGGACAGAAGAGGTCTTGTTATTAGGCATCACTCATCTGTTATCACAGTGCAGTTTGCAACTAAACCCAGATGCACAAGTCAAGGGAACTCTTTATGCCGTAAGTTCAGCGTTTGGCAAGCTGTGCTGCGCATGCTAAGATTATGAGCTGAACCGAGTGAGGCATTTATACCTAGGATATCAGTAGGGAATGCAGTGTTGCATTCAGGCAGTGCTTGGTGTGGAATCCCATCGTTACACGCCTAATCCAAGAGACGCTGGTTTTGTGTGGGATTTTCAGTTGAGTTTTTGTTTAACCTGCATGCATCCATTGTCGCAGCTTTGGGTGCAGTGGTTTGGTGACCATACTTTCACCCAAGTGGAGCCCGACAAGTTGAAGACTCTTTCGGAGGGGCTGGAGGCTCACCACAGGGCTCGCAAGAAATACCGCAGGTCAGTATCCCCGACATTTTTTTTTTAGGGTGCAGGGGGCGTCTGTGTTTGGCAGATCTGAGGCCAGATTCATGAAGAGCTTCTTGGGTTATGACAACTTATCTAAGAGGTTCGTAAGCTAAGAACATCATAATAAGAAATATTGGTATTCACGAACGCGTTCTTAAGTGAGAGAAGGAAAGCGACGTTCTCGTACGGGAAAACTAGAACTTTTGGTGTATTGCAAGCCCCACAAAAGCGGGCTGTTGCTATGGTGACACGTATTCAGCAACACGAACAACCAATTGGAGAGCTCAGCAGGGTTCGGAGCACTTGGATTTTGAATAACAAATGCAGGCAGCCTTTCTGCCACCGCTTGTCTGCGGTTCATGTCTGTGCATTGAAACGTCGATGCTAACATGATTTAAATGGGCCCGAGTACCAAGGCCGAGATAACCGCCTTTGACAACTGCTACGAACTCGATCGCTACGAAGTCAACACAACTGTCTTCATTGCCAAAAGAAGACTGCACGTGCCGGTCATTTGCAAAGCGGTGTAGATGGAAGCAAATTCCTGCGGCGTTTTTTGTGGCCTCTGAGATGCAGGAGCGAGCCATTGAGGTCAGCGATCAAACTACTAATATGGGAAGGGCCCACAAGGGTCACGCGGGCATATTCCATTTAGCAATCCTGCCGGTCGTGGGCAGACGGTCTTGGCCAGGGAGCGTCAGAGCAACGCTGCATCGGGCCAGGTCAGAGTGCCTTGCTGTATTGTGCCGAGCTCGTTAAGCTAGCCCTTGGCAGTCGCTTGGTCTGTGGGATCATCGCCGTTGCAGCTTTTCCCGAATGTTTGTGGATCCAGCATTTATGTCTGTTGTGGTCAGTTTCAAGTGCTTCTTTCTTTTTTCTTGGTGCTTGAAGTCGGGACGCGGGAGATAAGCGCGTAGAAAAATAAATGTCCGTTAGTTGTTGCGACCAAGTAACTAGCGACGCTGTCAGCCATGTTGATTTGATCGTAAAAAAGTGCACAAGACAGCTTAAGAGCTGTCGTAGGATTCCATCGTAGCCTGCGCAAATTTCGTTTGGTAAATACTAATTTGTTCTTACATTTTGTCGTATGCACATTTTTGGCAGAAGATCGTTTCGTGAATCTGGCCTCCTGGTTGCTCACCGAGCAGGTTCTAACGCTTTTGACAGATTGAAATTGGCATGTACCGCTGCAAGCACCTGTCTAAAGCAGCATTGCAGGATCATATTTCTGTTGGTTGAGAAATTTTAATTAACTTCAGTGTCCTTCAGGTAAATGCAAGTTTGAATCCAATCTCCAGCTCAGCATTCAGTTCCACTTACTTCTCAGAGATGATGGTATTAATGCAGCAAATACAGTGCAACACAAGAGTGTCTGGCAGTCAAGTCCCATACGGCGCTGTTCGGCTCTCGTTAGCAGCCAGTGAGACCATACTGCTGGGACGAGATTGTTGAGACACATTTACGTCGGTATTGAGTGCTTTCACAGTGCTCTCTCAAATGTCAGGGAGGTAATCGCTTAAAATGGCGTGGCATTAAATGTTAAAGCTGGGACGCTACACCATAGAAGCGGCACTTTTAAACATTGCATCGCTAACTAAACCTGCGTTTTGTGAAGGTAGTTTCAGACGATTTGCAGACTGCACTGTAACAGTCTTTCAAAAGGGCTCCCTTTCTCTCCATAGGGGTCGAAAGCTGAACGGCAACCTGGAGAACGCCATTCAGGAGGCCATGATGGAGTTGGACCGTCAGACTGGCACAGTCATCCCCTGACCTGCGCCCAGACTCATGCCCCGCCCTTCTACCCCTTCAGTTTTTTTTTGTTTTAACCACAGTCCCGCGTTTGTTGTTTCTCGCTAGCTCGCCCCACACATTTGTTGTTTGCCCCCTTCCCCTCGTGTAGAGGAAGAGCTGAGCTTGCTGCACTTCTGTATAGTATAGAGAGAGGGGAAAAAGAAAGAGGAATGGAGATCTTTTTTATACAGATGCTATATATATATATATATATAAATATATATATATAAATATATTATATATGACAGCGTTGCTGTTGACGTTTGCCGTTCGTCGTTTGTTTGATTGTTTTTGCATGACGCCCACCACTTTCTTCTCGCCTCGCAATTCATCGCTTGCTTCCTTCCCGTACTGCCAGTTCTGGCCTACAAAGAAAAGGATGGGAAGAGTTTAGTGGGAGGGCGTTTACTTCTTTTAGTCCTCGAGACAATTGCTCTGCGGCGTTTTTTGTTTCCCAGTGTTTTTTTTTTGTAGCGGTGAAAGAGATGGTGACCACCACCCGGTTGTTGAGCCTTTTTGGCAAGATTGCGTTTTGCATTTTTAATGAAATTCGTGCTACAAGAAACGATTGAAAGCGATGCAATGGCTGTCCCGCTCCGCGCGAGCTGTGGCTGCCGGGTTAAAATCCCGTATTTTATTTCTGGGCCGATAGTCTCGACAGAGAGCCGAAGTGAGATGCTATTTTTGTTTTACACGAATACAAGCAAAATAAAAAGAGAATGAGGAAATTACAAGCTGTGTCTTCGTGCCAATGTTATACACTCCGTGCGACGCGACTGGCGCGCCGCCGCGCGGCCGGTACCGAAGGTGGGCAGTGAGAACCCCAGAGAAAACGAAACCGAAACCACGCTGCGTACGATGATACGCATTGAAGTCGGAGCGGTACGTGCGGTTGCGCTGGGTTCACAGCATGAAGTGCTGCCTGTGCTGCGTCATTAAGTGCTTCAATAGTTATGCGTACTATCTCGTAGGGATAAAATTTCACAGCTTTTCACCTCGGCGATGTTTTGTGGGACAGCGACAACGATGGACCCATGCCGTACTACGCGAGAAATTTGGTCTCCCGATCATGTCTGTCACTGTGTCGGCACGGCTGACATACTCTACACTGCCGCTTTGCGCTCTGCGTGTATTTTCGTACCAGTAACGCCTACATGTGTTAGCGCCGAGGGGACGAACTGAAATTGCATTTCACACTCGCGGGTATGCAGTGCCAATTTCGTTTGAGGAATGCCCTCCAAAGAAGTTTTGTCCCCATCGTACGAGTCGATGATATTTCCGGACAAGTATGGCACGAAATCTGTACTTCATGGAGAAAGATTCGAACAGTAAAAAAAAGTGAAAATTATTAATCTGAAAAAAAAAAATGAAACTCGGAATCACTGGAGAATTGACGTTTGAGTATGGAAGTTTATGTGGTGTGCTTTCTTTCTTGATCAGCCTTCTTTTGGATGTGGAAACGCTGACACCCCGAGCTCTGTAGACAACAATTTTTTTTTTCTAGGCTTTAGAGCCACCTATTGCAAAGTGATTCGAACTAGAAGTACCGTCCACTGGTCCTTTCCTACCTGTAAAGTGTGCACCTCCCATGATGAGTGGTATTATCTGACAGCCTTTGACAATCAAAGCCAGTTACCATTTAGTTACGCCGCCCAAACTAAATTTCCACCTGGTTTCGCTATGCCAACTCTTTTTGGTTTAATAAGTGTTGTGTCAAGTTACGGACATGTCAAAGTACCTGTGCGCCGAAAATCAGCACCTCGCACAACAAGTTATTACACAACAGCTGACCGCAAAAGACCTTGACGGCCAAACCGTGTGTTGGCCGACAACTTTGTTTTCTCAGCTTTGGAACCACCTTTCATAACGTTGTTTCAATTGGAAGTACAGTCCACTAGGCCCTTCCTACCTGTAAAGTATCCACCTCCCACGACCAGTGGTATTCTCTTGACAGCGCTTTCATGGTCAAAACCGGTTCCCATTGAGTTACGCCGCCCAAACCAAATTCCCACCTGATTTCCCTATGCCACCTCTTTTTGGTATAATAAGTGCTGTCTCAAGTTACTGTCAAGTCCAAGCACCTGTGTACCTAAATCTGCACTTTGCACAGCCCGCTATAACACAACATTTTGGGTCCAATATTGGATATCCCGTACAGCTTTATTTCTTTATTCGTTAGAAACATGACTTTCACACCTGCTGTCTTAATGAAACTCGGCACACTTCGTGCACAAACTTAGTGAACATCTCACTTGCCTCCAAATATCATCGTTCCAGCAGTCCAACGTTTACAGCGACGAGCCAGGTAAATTTCCCACTCAGAGCAATTATAGTGACGGCCGTCTTGCTTTTCGGAAAATTGCTCCAACTCTTTTTTCAGCCGCAACTAGAGATATTACCCCTAATAACGACTCAAGCTCAATATATAAGAAGTGAAGAACAGCTACCTTCTGCCCCAGCACTCATGCAACGTCACCTAAAAACGTATCGGCTCAAAAAGCAAAAGCTTCATCCGTGCGCGCTTCCGCCGCCGCAGCTTGGCATGCGAAAAGGCGCCGCAGGCTGCTGAACGCGCCTCACTGTCGAACGCCAGCTCCTCCGCTAGCGGCGCTGCGCGCGTTTGTCAAAGCGCCCCCTATAGTTCCCGCACGGAGCGTATACCCGTCATTCTTCACGCAGAGTGCACTGTGCATGCACATTTTTTTTATGAGAATGGATATGATGTTTAGCTCCTTTCAGTCACTTCAAAATGATTCGAAAGCACCAGTCATGTAGTTAAACTCTGGCGAGTTCCCAAAACAAAACCCTGGAAGCCAAAAATCATCTTGAAACGACTCGGAGCAGCTGAAAATGTGATGTCTGCGGGCGTAAGCTGATGTGCAATGTGTGCTCTGCATAGACGGGCCTTGCCACACGGAGCACACCGACCTCTCTACAGCTGGCGCTTTTTTTCTACTAAGCCTGCCAAGAATGATGCCTTAAGTCTAGATACATATGAAAAACTGCAATATTTTTCGAAATATTAGATTTAAAGTTTTATTATTTTTGAATCTTGGTATTTTGTGTATCAAAATAATAAGAACAGTTATGATCATGAAATTAGTCAGATACGCATTTAAAGATCTCCTTGCAACCCAAATTGGTATAAATTTGAGCCATTTTTTGTGTGCGTGGTTCTTTAAGTTGTAACGTGGCCCGACGTCACATTTATGTTGAGAAGCAGGCCTAGCCATCTCCTCAACAAAAAGAGTTAATTTTTCTCACCTTGGAAGAGTGTCGCGACACATATATGGTAACATTCAAACAAGTTTATCTCTGCGTAATTTTGAGGCGGGACATCTTCACAGTTTGAGCACTAGAAAATAGTTAATTGCACGGAAATTCTAGACGTTACTATTGCTCTCTTTATGCATAGCTTTGACAGGCGCATATTCAGCGCCTGTCAAAGCTATGCACTAAATTTTTACAAAAACACCAAATTTTTGGGTGTAGGAGACATAATAGAGCAGTTAGCTTTTTATGCCATCCAATGGCACTTTCTGGGGTCTGCTGCAATGCACAGAAAGAGGGGCGTGTCACGATCTGATTGGATTTTTAAAAGGCCACGAGTGTATTTTCGGGTTTTTTAGGATGCTTGGAGCCCGTAGGTTGAGTTATCACCATAAATAGACGATACCGGAAGTGCCCCTTTAAAGGGAAGCTGAAACACTTCTTGAAAAAAACGATTTAGAGGTACATTCTGGCATATTTTTATCCAGTGAATCTGAATATCATGTTTGTTTTTCCTGAAGAAAACACGCAAAACCTCCGACCAGTCGGGATGTCATACTAGGATCTTTGGGCCGCCAAGCGCGTGTTCCTTGGCGGCCCAAGCTTGCAATTGCAGCTCGTGCAATTGCAAGCTTCCCAGGAATACTTTTTAGCACTGACGCCAGTCGTGACGTCTGTTTATGACCTTTTTGAAAATAGCAAGAGTGCGCGTGCATAGCTTTGACAGGCACTGAATATGCGCGAGCAGGGATTTCGAAAACTCCTAATATGACGTCGCGTCCAGGGAAGGAAGTGCCTCAGCGGTACTTTCATTTCTGCGGTCTCCGGCACCAAATTGAAAGATAATCTCGATATTCGTGATCGTGGAGGCCAAATGAATATGATTTAAGTGTTTTTCCTCAAATACAGAACTGCTTCAATTTTCCTTTAAATGGTATTAAATTGAATTAAATTGTAAACATCACAATTGTGGCTTACGGGGCGACATCAGACTGAGACCCGCTTTGGAGATCATTGTGACATGCCTGAATCTGCCATATTTTCCAGGCTATACATAGCTTGCGCCGACGTCACGTCGCATATTTTTGGCCTCCATGTAAGAGGAGGAGAGGGAAGCTGCTTTTGTAAGAATTTTGAGTGACGTGCTAATCTTCTATAATCTTCTGGGGGCAGAATAGCGACGACTGGGGCAAATCCGGGCGGCACAAAAGGGGGCCCTGATAAGAGCGGAGCTTCTTCTCGACCTCCTCTCTGGTGGTCAACGGAGCGCCCTTTGAATGACGTCACGTGCAAGCCATGTATAGTCTACACCACGTGCATAGTCCACAAGGGAAAATTTGGGGTCAAAAACAAACGTTTTTGCTTAGATAGTTTGCACCCGGTTCATAGTCCGCATGCCGTACATAGCTTTGCACCTGGTGCTTAGTTGAAACAAAAATCTGCTTGTACAGGGTGTCACAAGAAAAAAGTTTTGTGACACCCTGTACAAAAAAAGGTTTTTTTTTTTTTTTTGCTGCAAAAATAAATTAGGCATCGCCGAACGCTCATTCTCCGCCCAAAGGTAGGGCTAGAGGTCACAACGAGACGCCAAATTTTCAACCCGAACCGATACCTTATTCAAAAGTTATGCGTTTTTCTGAAAAGTTCAATGTAAAAATGGCGGCCGACGAAGTTTTCGAATACATGGGGCTCTATGGGCACCAGAAACCAAAAACGGGCTCCATTTTCCCATTGAAATTTTCAGAAAATCACGCTGCCACTCGGCTACCCATTATAAGTATCCGAAACGTGTGCCTACCTAACACATGACTGGCACATATACAGCGTGTCCCCCAAAAAATTTGCAGAGTATTTTTCATTGCAAAAATGAACTATGCATCGCCAAACGCTCATTTTCTGCCCAAATGTAGCATTAGTGGTCCATACCAGATGCCAAGGTTTCGGAGCTGTTTTCTGTCGAAGGTTATAGGTGATTTTCTGAAGATTGGCTTTCAGCCGTTTTCAGTAACTGGCGCCATTCAGCTCTATGTATTATAAGAGGTTTATCGGCCACCATTTTACCCTAGAAAATTTTCGAAAATCGGTTATAGCTTTTGAATAAGATGACGGTTAGTTTTAAACCTTGGCATGTGCTTCGGACCTCTAAGGCTACATTTTGGCGGAGAATGAGCGTTCGGTAATGCATAGTTTAATTTTGTGATGAAAACCCTGCAATTTTTGGGGGGTACGCCCTCTAGAATGCAAACACCCGACTACAGACCATTCCAGAAATTTTTGTCATCCTTGCTGTTTGTTCAGCACATTTACAGGAGCACGGTACACAGCACGCGAAAACATGCAGCCAAGTGTGTGGGTGCTCCAAATAGACCTTTCTTACAAATCCTAAAAGATTTTGCACGAAGCTCCTGTATGCTTCTTGCCTCCACCTCCACCTCCACCACACTCAAGAAAGCGAGAGAAA